GATTTTTACAATTTTAAATTTTGGGGCCTGATTTTTTATTTTAGGATAGATAAGGCCTGAGTTGTGAAATTTTTTCCTTTGCTATTTGTACAGAAAATATGCTGTCGAATTAAGACACTTGACAGTTTTTGGCTGGATAATGACAAAAAAAGAAGAAGACAAATAGACCAAATAGATGCAGCCACAACAGTAACAGTGACAACATTTGCATTAATTTTGCCAGAACAGCTTTTGTGCAAGCAGAATTAGTCAATTTCGTGGTTAAAGAGGAGTTGGCGATGGGGCCAATGTTGTAAATCGATATTTATGACATTTGAAAGCAGACTCGAACATCTCAATGCTGTCAAGAATGAAGTAGCACGAATCAATCATAAATCAAATATCAATCAACTTTACTCAAAAATCAGGATTAAACAACTACCATTTCAGGGCCTATAAGCCGAATAATGGTGGAAGATCCTCAAACTACAGTAACTATAGAAGTGGAAGAAGAGATAAAAATAGTGGTTGTAGCTACAACAGTATTGATAGGCCAATCTGTTAAGTATGTGACAAAATTGGACACAAGGCAAATATTTGTAATTTCAGATATAATGAATGTTTATATGGGAGCACCACCAAATCACAGAAACAGAGTATTTATTTGAAAACCATAAGGAATCAAAAATCTGTTGGTAAGTGTTTATATATGATTTAAATTACAATAAAAATAAATAAATTGATAATACTTATGAATTGTAAAATGACTTGAATGTTTATAAATACGAGTCAAACATGGTCTAACGGTTAAAAACTTGAAGCATATATGAACAAGTGGTAAATAAGCTTATTAAGGGCTTGTTTGGAAATGATTTTAATCTAATTAAAATTGAAAATATAGTCGTTCTTGGGTCCCATCCGTCTAATAAAAGTCAACAATAACGGCTAGTTTTTCAATTTTAATCCGATTTTAATCTTTTCCAAACAAGTTCTAAATATATAAAAATTATTTTGGCATGTATGGTTACGAATGAGATGATATTGATGTTGAATAAGCAATTCTTAAATCAATTAACTTTGTCATTTATTTTACTACAATGGGATAGGTTCTTGGTTTTTTTCAGTTAAACTTGCCGTCTAGTCCAGTTTGATAATAACAAAGATTTGAACCGCTTCCGTAATTCAAAATTGTTTGGGCAAATTAGATCAATTTGCTATTACTGCAATAGATTGGGGTCCAACGGTGCAATTTTCGCGTAATGATAGCCATACTCTATATTTATTAGAGAATTTCACCGATGGTCACTGAAGTTCAAGAATAATTATAATTGGTCATTAAAGTATTTTTATAACCTATTTAGTCATTAAAAGTAAATCGTATTACAGAATTGGTCACTCCATTAGCTCGATTAACATCGCATCCTGCATAGAAGCGGTTAAACCTTCACGTGGACTAGCAATCATTAAAACGATCAATTCCATCAATTTGGCCTCCTGTTTTAGGCTTTTAGCTCTCGCAAAGTTTTCTTTTTGCAGTTTATTAATGATTAAAAGTATAATAATGATCAAAGTGACAAATTTAAGATTTTTTTTGCCTTATTAGCACAAAACGTCCCTACGTGTGGCTTTTAATGGGCACAACATCCATACATTTCAATTTTTTACATTTTTCATCCTTATTTTCACTTTTTCATCGTGGAAAACGTCATTTTCATTAATTTTTATCCAATGTCTCAATTAAGAATTGTAAAATGGAAAATACACACTTTTCTATTTAAATAAAACAAAAAGAAAAGAAAAATAAAGAATAAATTGCCAACTAAATCTGGAAAAATAAATGTTTAAATTAGCTACCCACTGCAGTCTGCATATATGATCCTCACAGTATCGGTCATTCAAGTAAAAGTTTGGTGGGGGTGGTGGAAAAGGAGAAGGGGAGGTTGAAGAGGAAGAAAGGAAGAGAACTTCTCTTTTTTTTTTTTTTAAATAATTTATTTGAGATTCGATTATATATATATTTTAAAATAATTGGTAGTATGGTTAAAATCAATTCTTTATTTTTCTTTGCTTTTTTTTTTTAAATTTAAATAAGAGAGTATATTCAGTCTTTCACGTATTTTGTTGAGAAATTGGATAAAAGTTGAAGGAAATGATGATTTCCACAATGAAAGATAGAAATAAAGGTGAACTGTTTTGCACAATAGATTTCAAATGTGGGAACATTTTGTGCTAATAACTCTTTATTTTTTGTCTTTAACGTTAGATTTTTAAAAAGCATATTTTATTTAGAAAATTTGAAATTTCAAGATATGGATACGACGATGGTTAGTTGATATCAATGTAATGGGCTGACGATTCTAGAGTGAACATCGCTAAAGGACTGACCAATTATGTTAAATTATTTAATTTTATTGACCAAATGAGTAACAAAAATAATTTAATGACCAATTTAAAATTCACATTTAACTTTAGTGACCAAATTGCAAAACAAACTTCTATTTTTATAAATAACGTTATCTAACATCAGTCTAAATGATCAAATTTGATAGGTTCAATTAAATGAATCATGCGACATTCCATTTAAATGAATTAATCATTTAAAAGTAATATTATTCGTAGTCGCTCACTATAATAGTCGTCCTAAGTGACTTACATATGATATATTAATGTTAACTCATTCATCATATTATCGCTCGTCACGTATTTGTCACGTAGAACGATTGTCGTAAAGAGCGATTCCAAATAATATTATTCATCGTTTAATATCATGCAATTGATTGAAACTTGACATAACATTACTCTATATTTATATACGTTGAAACCTACCAAATTTCCAACCACATTTTAAAAAAACTATATTGCAAAATACCCACCACTTGAATCATCACTGAGCACTTATATTCATCTTTCTCTCCATTCGTCGCCATTGAAGAATTCCCTCTTTAATTACCAAAAAATGATTTGTTCAGGAAGAATTTTAGCAGTTTCGTATTCAAAGTCACCGATTAATTCATCGAATCCACGCTTCTCCACCTCCAGATTTCTTCCGGTAAAGCTAAAATCTCATGTCAAATGGAAAGTCATGGCATCAGACCCCGACGCATCTACGTTTGCTTCTTCCATTGATTCTGACACATCGACTGATAAAAACTCTTCTGCGTAATATATTATTTTTATGTCGATTAATTAGTCCAGATTTTTTGTAAATTTCAATAAAAGTTGATGAAATGTAAGGTTAAAAAGTTGTGGTGTCATGAAATATGTAGTTATAATTAATTGTTGACTTTGATTTAGATTAAAATCCAGATTTTAATCCTACCATACAAGGGCTTAGTGTTGTTTTGAATTGAGTTTTGATATTAGTTTTATAGATCAGAAATCCAATAATTTATTTTGATTAGTAAATGAAGATATATTATGTAAGTAGTTGTTTGTACTTAATTGATTAATTAATTAGTTGTTTGTACTCATTGATGGTGAATTGAGAAGGTCTGGTTTGGAGTGTTTGGGTACAGGTTTTGTATAATAGAAGGGCCGGAGATGGTTAAGGATTTCGCAAAAATGGAATTACAGGAAATTCAGGATAATATTAGGAGTCGTCGAAATAAAATCTTTTTGCACATGGAAGAGGTCAGTTTACTTTATTAACAATATCCACGAACATTTTTTTTGTTTTAGAAATTGTTGAATTCTAATTTTTGAATAAGTTCTGCTATACAGGTCTTCATTTTCTAGATTTGCTGTCTTTTTAACTGTTATTTTACTAGTAATTGCTGTTTTGTGAAAATTTTGTAGGTTCGTAGGCTGAGAATACAACAAAGAATTAAAAATACGGAGCTTGGTATTCTGAAGGAAGAACAAGAAAATGAGCTTCCTAATTTCCCCTCCTTCATTCCATTTTTACCTCCTTTGGTATGCTTGTCGATTTGCATTTTCTTTGTTTTCACTATGTGCCAAGAGTTGTACTCAGCAAAACTTCAGTGTGTGGTGTCTAACAAATATATTTGTTGCAGACCTCTGCGAATCTTAAACAATATTATGCAACTTGTTTCTCTCTTATTGCTGGCATAATGCTTTTTGGTGGTCTTCTAGCACCTACTGTAAGTTGTGCTGCACCTTGTCAATAGCATTAGAACAAGAATCGGAGGATTACTAAAGCAGACTGTTTTGCATGTACTTACCTTTGTGCATTAGTGACAGCACTTTTCAATTTTTCCATTTTATTTATGGGCCGGTGTTTCCATCCTGTTACTTATTTGGAGATAACCTTGTGATATAAGCTTTCCGAATGTCTATAGATTGTTGAAGCAAATTTTAAAACTGATATCCCTCTATGCCTAGCTCCCATGCCATTCTTCTCCTATTTAAAACGTTGAGCAACTACATTATCTTGCAAATGGAAAGGCTTTCTGTTATCTTTCTTTTCCTTTTTTATTGCTTTTAGCGTTAAGAAGGAAGATATATCTTTTTGCAGTATACTGTACTTTCGAAAGTATTTGTCTGGAGACAACGTACTTTGGTTTGTGCTTTAGGAATGAAGAGATACTAGCATGACATTATATTCAGTCCCTGAAAGAAATAAGGATTAAGCTGATGATAACAATCCGTACCTGATACTTTCAAATTTCAACCGCTTTTTATTGACTTGACCACCTTTGGTATCCCTAATCCCCAAAGCAGCAAGAATATGAATGTTATTGACCAAGAGGGGAGCGTTACTGGAATATGTAGATGAGAATTTGTTATACTCGTAGTTTTATGTTTTTGAAATTTATGTTAATGTCATAATCCATGTACTCTTTTCCATTGTCATACTAGCTTGAGCTGAAACTGGGATTAGGAGGTACATCATATTCTGATTTTATCAGTAGCATGCATCTGCCAATGCAATTAAGGTAT